TTAGACAACGCTCTATTTTCTAATCGTTAATCGCAGTTGTCGGCCAATCGTAGCCAATAAAATATTGTGATTTTAATCACGTGATACCAAAGCACATGTGTCTCGATAATACAATAGGTATATTAAATTGTAGTCTAAAGTGTCACACTTGATACAAGGATATAAGTTTATGTGTATAATGCCGCCAAAAAAGCAGACATTTACTATTGATCAAGAATCTGTTGGGATCTTCTAGGCCGGTATTCATAGTCAGTTCTTATATTCAAGATCATCTCAAGTTCAGCCTTGAGGTGTTACGAACCAATAAGAGAGCCACATTAGCGTATTAAGACATTACTTAAGACGATCTTGAAATAAGAATCGACTATGAATACCGGCCCTAGACTGAGTTCCAAGAAAAGGTTATGATGTAATTCTATCTCCTTTTTTCTTGCTATCCATCGATGCATCCAAATTCTCTTGTTGGTATTACTTGCAAGTAGCATAATAATTATTACAAACAATTCTTGCTCGTGCAGTTGCCAATATTGATTAATATTTCTTGGCATTTTTTCGATGCTATTTTTCACAGACACAATATATTAGCGGCCACAATTCTTACAATCGTCAGTGTTGGTCAGTGTGATTGAATGGCTGCGTTCAGCAGACTCAACAGTTTTGCAACCGTTTTATGATTGTCTGCTGAGATAGGACCATTCTTCTAGATCTAAAAGTATGATCCAATCAGCGCGAAGGAAACTTCCAACAGTTGCAAAACAAACGTTCTGCTGAACGCACCCAATGATTGTAGATCGCCAATCGCCAATCGCAATCTCAATCCAATCGGTAATCGCTAGTGTGATTACGGCTTAAGAATGGACTATGGATTCCGGCCTAAGGATGAAGATTGAGATTGAAGATTGAAAGATTGAAATTTGATCAATCAAAATAATAGGAGCTAAAATTCCTTTATCCTCATTGGTCAAATTTTAATCTTCAATCTTCAATCTCAATCTTCAATTCAGCGTAGTCCGATTCCGGCCTAAAGCTGATTTTACATTAGTCGCATCGCAGCGTTGCAAGCGTGTCGCAAGCGGTGTGGTCCAATCAGAGTCGAGCTAAGTTGATGTTGATTGGACCGCAAACGCTTGCGATGCTGCGATGCGATCAATGTAGAACCAGCTTAATGTAGAACCAGCTTAACGATATAATGGTTATATATAACCTGATCGACAAAGTTAGTCGATTGGATCTTTGCTGTGATTGGTTTAATGTTTGACCAAGCGTCCAGTCAACAAGAGGTGTCATCGGAACATTCATCGGTGCACGGAAGTGAGAATAGTGGGAATATTAGGATTACGCCGAGTGTAGAACAGAAGGAATCCGGTGGTGAGGTCAGATTATCGAAACGTCAATCGTGGCAGACGAAATTGAGCGAGCTTACGAGTTTGCAAGCGAATTCGGGGATCCTTCGGCAATTGTTTCCGCATTATTGACGACACGACGGTATATTGTTGCGCGCGCATTCGACGATTTTGCCAGTGCCTGTCGGCTGTCCGTTGAAGAAAACGTCGTTTATCGATTCCGACAACGAAGTGATACTCTGCCACACCCCACCGAGGCCATTTTGGACGATAGTCAGTGAGAGCTATTTTAAAGATCGTGGCCAGCCATGGA